TGTTTTCCCCTCCCAGCTCCGTTCCCACCTCTGCTGAAATCCTTGGAGCTCCAATCCCAAAATTCTTGCCTGGAAATTCCCGCCGGGATTCGGCTGCCCCGAGCTCAAATCTCGGCTCTGTTGAAGTCGCTGAAGCTGCAGGAGGAGCTGAGGGAGCTGAGGATGAAAAATTTGGGAATTTGGGACGAGGGAACGGCCGAGCTGGGAGAGACCCTGAAAACCCTGAGCGGCCTCCGGGGGCTGCGGCTGCCAGGGAGCGGCAGCGGAGCCCGCGGCATCCGGAGCCTCTGCCACAGCACCACGGGGCAATGGCAGGTGAGGGCTGGGGGGGAAAACATGGGGAAAAACGGGGGAGAAATCGCCCCAACAATGGGGAAAATCGGGGGAAAAATCGCCCCAAAAATGGGGAAAATCGGGGGGAAAATTCTCCCAAAAATGGGGAAAAACGGGGGAAAAAATCACACCAAAAATGGCACCAAAAATCCCTTTAAAAAAGGGGAAAATTGCACAAAAAATGGCAAAAAGTGCAGAAAAAACTCTCTCAAAAATGGCCAAAATTCCACAAAAATCCACTAAAAAAATCCCCCAAAAATCACTAAAAAATCCTTAAAAATTCTTCAAAAATCCCAGAAACTTCTCAAAAAATCCCAAAAAAATTCTGAAAAAAATCTCCCAAAAATCCCAAAAAAATCATCAAAAAAATCCCCTAAAAATCCCCAAAAACTCCCCAAAAATCCCCCAAAAAATCCCCCCAAACCCTCCAGTCCCCGCCCTGACCATGATCTCGTGTGACCCCAAACTCCCCCGAAATGGCCCCAAAAATCCCTAAAACTCCCCCCAAAAAAATCCCCAAACCCTCCAAAAAATCCTCAAAAAAATTCCCCCAAAACCCCGCCAAAAATCCCCAAAAAAAATCCCTAAAAAATCCTTAAAAATCCCTAAAAAAATCCTTAAAAATCCCTAAAAAATCCTTAAAAAAATCCCTAAAAATCCCCAAAAATCCCCTCAAAACCCCCCAAACCCCGCCCCGTCCCCTGCTGACCATGATCTCGTCGTGCTCCTCGCGGTTCCCGGCCAGCCCGTACGTGGGGATCTCCCCCAGGGTCCGGCAGAATTCCGAGGTGGCGTTGAAGACGATGCTGCCCCCCGCCCCTCCCCCCCCGCCCCCCCGCGCCTCCGGGACCCCCCCGGGGCCCCCCCGGAGCAGCTCCAGCACCTGCGGAGGGGG